GAATGAGGAACTGGATACCCCTGGAGAGGGCTTGGGCAAGCCTGTGGGACCCCTGGTCCCTGGAGAGCAGGTCACTCCGCTGCCCATGTGAAAGCGAGGCTGACACCTCATACAAGAAGGTGCCTGGGGCTGCTCAGAGCGTCACTCCAGGATCTGGGCTTGTATGGCCCACTGGGAACACTGGGCCAGGAAGCAGAATTCTGCCCAGTTCTCTCTCCAGTGGCAACGAGGACATAGATGGAGGATCTGCATTTACACAGGTTCATACACAATGTGAATGGAAACCACAGGATCACCGTCCATGTTCATGGAGGCATGTTTACCCTCAGCCCCACCGGATGGAGCACTCACCCGGGCAACGCAAAAGAGACAGAGACCTGAAGGCAGGGTAGTGACTGATGTTAACGTAAAATTACTTAGGTGCTGGATGCTTGCAGTCCTGCCCTTTCCCTGTTATCTCTCCTAACATGTGGGTCTTCACCCCCATCACAGTGGGGGGACTGAGGCAGCCAGGGATTTACCCGGGTCACACTCACAGTCAGTAACTCTTAGCTTCCGTTGATTGAGCATCATCCCATGCACAGAAAGGTTGCCCGTTCGATTATTGGTGAGGGCACACGCCTGGTTTCCTGGCTGAATCCCCAGGGGGTGTGTGGGAGGCAAGCAGGAGTTTGCTGCCAATGCCATCTGACCAAACTCCGTTATCGGAAGTTCATCCCTTTGAATCTTGCCAGTGATGGTTTGGGCAGCTCTGGGACAAAGTCCACCTGGATGAGGAGAAGGCGACCCATCCTGACTGACTTCCACTGGCATTTCCTACCCGTCCCCACTCCTCTCCTTGCCCCTGGTCAGTCCCTGATAAGATATTGTCACTTTGTGGTGGCCTTAATGGGGCCCCTCAAGGATGCCCGGTTCTCCTGCGGACCCCATGAAGTTGGCTGCAGCGCTTTGATGTGATTTGACCATTGAAATGTGCTGGGAGTGAAGCCTGTCACCTCTGACAGAAGAGTCTGGAAGCACTGAGACCAGCTACCCTCTCTGTCCTTCTCTGATAACACCTAGGAGGTACCTATATGGTGGCCTCTCTTAGCCTGGTCCCAGGAGAACCAGGGTGTTCATGTGCTATGAACAAGCCAGTGGTTCTCAACCTTCTGGCCCTTTAAATACAGTTCCTCATGTTGTGACCCAACCATAACATTATTTTCGTTGCTACTTCATAACTGTAATGTTGCTACTGTTATGAATCATCATGTAAATATCTGATATGCAGGATGGCCTTAGGCGACCCCTGTGAAAGGGTTGTTCGACCGCCAAAGGGGTCGCCACTCACAGGTTGAGAACCGCTGCTCTAAGCCATTAAAGCTTTGGGGCTGCTCATTACCCACAATAACATCCAGCCTGTGAGCACAGCCCCTATTCTCTAGGATAGCGGTTGCCAACCTTTCAGACCTCACGGACCACCTGGTCCTCGGGCCACCGGTTGGCGACGTCTGCTCTAGGAGGCAGCAGAGCCTAACATTAGAAGCCAGAGCTGTTGTTAGACACATGGGTTTGACTTCCAGCCCTGCCTTTATTAACTCTACAATCTGGCAATTTATGTTGAGTCTCTGAGCCTGAATTTTCTCTCCATAAAATGGATGGTGAAACCATCTCAGATCGAGGAGAGGATCAAATGAAATAATAACGCAGATAAAGCACTGAGACCAGGGCCTGGTACCTGTCGTGAACATTCAGTAACTGTTAGCTCCTTAGCTTCACAATGTGTGCCGACTGCAGACATTCAGACAACATAGGAAATGTCAACATTTTGTCCTTTGTATACGTCCAAATTTTGTTTTAAGACCAATAGGGCCCTAGCTGGTCTGGCTCATAGAGTGTTGGCCTGTGGAGTGGAGGGTCCCAGGTTCAGTTCCAGTCAAAGGTACTTGCCTGGGTTGCACGCTTGATCCCCAGTAGGGGTCGTGCAGAAGGCAACTGATCAATAATTCTCATCATTGATGTTTGTATCTTTCCCTTCCTCTCTGAAATCAATAAAAGTTAATAAATTAATTTAAAAATAAAACCAATAGGATAGGATTGTGTATATTCTCTCATAGCCTGCTTTTTCTCTTAATAATGTGATATTTGTATGTTAAAAATAAAACCTCTGACAGCTGGAGGGACTCGGTTGAGCATGGGAAGGTTGCCAGTTCATTATTGGTGAGGGCCCAAGCCTGGTTTCCTGGCTGAATGTCCACGGGTGGGTGGGAGGCAAGCAGGAGGCAGTCGATCAGTGTTTCTCTCCCTGTCATTTCCTCTCTCTCTAAAAGTCACATTAAAAGAAGTTTAGGATTGTAGTCGTCAGGAATAAGTTAAATAATACTTTTCACCTCAAGGAGCACTCTGAGCTTCACGGAATCTGAAATGTGTGCAAAGAACAGATCCGTTGCAGACAACACTCCCCAGAAACCAGCCTCCAAAACCTAAAGTTGTCATTTCCCAGTGCCACTTGGGTTCACAACCACCAATATTTACAAAGGGCAGGGAGTGACTGGGATCCTTACCCAAATGGCTATGCGCCTAACGATGGCTGGGTTTAGCCAATGAAAGCCCAGAACAGGCGCATAGTCCAGGTGTACATGGTTTAGGGTGGGGCTCTCATGGTCTTGACCTGGTCATTTTAACCTCTGGTGTGTTCACCAAGGAGCCAGGTCCCCGGCGGGACCAGGCGTCAGAGGCAGCATCCCGCTGTGAAGTGGTCTGCCTGAGGCTTGTTGGGCCATAATAGGCGGAATTGGGGCCTCCCTGCCTCCCAGACTCCTCTCTGCTTACAGAGCTCAACTCAGCTTTACCCCCATTTAACCCTCCAGCCTCGGGTGCTGGCACCTGTCAGGTCCTGCAGCCCAGGTTCCAGCATCGGAACAGTGAGTCTCTCATGGTTGACACAGGGTGTGATGGGGGGGCGGGGGGGGCGGCGGTGACGGGCTGCAATTCCACCATAAAAGGACATGATGGTGTGACTGAGCTGGGAGCATTGGAAAAACCCAAGCCACTTTGATGTCTAAAGGCAACAAAAAGATGAGGCAGACATTTGCGTGAGTATTTTTTACTATCATTCTCAGGACTCGGGCCATTGATGGCCGTGAAAAAAACACACCACACGTCATTATCTGAGGTAGGGTTCTAAACACTTCCCAAAGACTCTGAGAGGAAGAACAGACTAGAAGGGAGAAGATAGCGGTTGGAGACAAGAAGAAGTACTTTGAAAAATAATGTAACTCGCAAGAGTGTGCACTGCGAGTTCAGCCCCGAGGTCATGCAGGCATCACCTGGCCCTGGGCCTGGGCAAGGGCCCTGAGCAGCCTGAGCCCGTGGATCCTGGCGGTGGTTGCCAGACTCTCAACAGGCCTTTCACTTTCCACAGGTTCCTGCAGATGCAGAATCGCTTTGGGGTGACTGGTTGGTGGATCTCATCTCAGGACCTCGAACTCTTGTGGCCTCTGAGATAGTGGCGTCCTGTCACTGTTCAGCCACTCCACTAGCCCTGGGACTGGGGGACTTGAAAGAGTCACCAAGCCCAGAATCTGAAGTCCAGGCCTAGGGTTATATGAGTGGTCCCTGATTTTGGAAGTGGATCTGAATGGCCCCTCCATGCAAAGGTTCTAGACCAGGGGTGGGCAAACGTTTTGCCTGGAGGGCCACAATGGGTTCTTACACTGGACCGGAGGGCCGGAACAAAAGCATGGATGGAGTGTTTGTGTGAACTAATATAAATTCAAAGTAAACATAATTACATAAAAGGGTACGGTCTTTTTTTTTTTTTTTAGTTTTATTCATTTCAAACGGGCCGGATCCAGCCCGCGGGCCGTAGTTTGCCCATGGCTGTTCTAGAATGTGCCAGGGCTTGGAGTGAAGACTGAGCTGCTTCAGGAACCAGCAGATGTATGTTTTTATAAAATAGGAACTGGAAACAGCAGGACAGGAGTTGGGTCTAGGAGAGCATTATGACAACTTGGGTGTCTCTTCTGCAGGTGAGGGGACCATGGGGGTATTTGGAGCAGTGGAGGCAGGTGACCTGACCCAGGTCTCATTAGACGCCCTGTGGCTGCAGCATGATGCACAATATGGGTGAGAGGGAGGTGGTGGAAGACTAGGACGGAGGCTGCTGTGAGTCTTGGTGAGTGTGATGGTGTCTGGCCCATGATGGTGGCCCTGGAGATGGAATAAGCAGTTGGATGTGGGATCTGTGTTTTAGGTGTGGCCACCTGGATTTTCTAATTTTGAGGATGAGAGGGAGAGGTAAGAGTCAGAGATGACATGAAGGTTTGGATTTAGCAGCTGAAGGAATGCTTCCATTCCTATGTGTCATGACCAGGAATAGAACAGTGACCTCCTGGTTTATAGCTGGATGCTTAACCCCCGCCCACACCATCTGGGCTATATTCTTTCTAAAATATTTTTAAATGTAGTTTTTATTGTTGAAGGTGTTACAGATGTCTCCTATTTCCCCTCTGTATATGTTCTTTGGGGGATCTCTCCCAGTCCCCCCACCCCCTCCCCTGGGACATCTGTCAGTCTGTCCCACTTACAACCAGGCCTCTGGTCCCATCTTGTCCTTCCCCAGGGACACGTGGTACCACACCACCTTTATTCACCAAGGTCATTGGCTGGCCTCCAGCCTTCCCCTGGACGTTTGAGCAAACTACATTACCCAGAAAGCAATGTGCACAAGTCAGCAGAGACAAAGACTTCTGCTGCCTGCTGATCCTGTTAAGGCGGGACTTCCTGCTTCCTCCTGGTGGCGGTCATTTTGACCTTTGTGGTGCGTTCACTGAGTCTCAGGGCTCAGCCCACCTGGTGGAGAGGAGCAGGAGGCAGCGTCCCTGCCTTTCAGGGGGGATCAGAGGCTTGTTGAGCCCCGTGGAGTTGGGCCTCCGAGCCTCCCCGACTCCTCTCCGCCGACTGAGTTCACTCAGGTCACCTGATTGAACCCTCCAGCCTCAGGTGGGGGCGCCTCACAAGTCCCGCAGCCCAGGGCGCAGCGTCCAGCGCAGTGAGTCCTCGTGGGGGACCCGGGGTGTGAGGGGAGGGAGGGCGACGGGCTGCGGGGCCGCCGGGGGAGGCCGTGGGGGGCTGAGCCGGGAGGGGGGGGCACCCCGTGGGGGGCTGAGCCGGGAGGTGGGGGCACCCAGGCCTGGTTTGTGTCTAAAGGCGACAGGACCAGAGGCGATTCCCGGGAGGAGTTTTACTTTCATGCTCAGGATGATGGGGCTGTGGGTGGTTGTGGAAAAAGAGGGACATTGGGTGAGGCAGGGTTCTCAAATTTACCAAACACTGCTCAGAGGAAGCAGAGAGAAGTGAGGGACGGGAAGGAGGACCCTGTGAAAGGTAAGGTAACTGGTAGGGTGTGCACTGGACTGAGCCCTGAGGTAGTGCAGGGGTCTGGAGTTCACCTGGGCCTGGGCCTGGGTGAAGGTACAGAGCAGTCTGAGCCCCTGGGTCCTGGGGTGGGTGCCAGGACCTCAACAGCCCTTTCGTTCCCACAGGTTCCAGTGGGTGCAGAGCCGCTGAGGGGGGTGGTTTGTAGAGCTGATTTCAGGGCCTCGCTGTTATTTTTCCTGAGGTCGTGGGGTCCTGGGGCTGTCGGCCCCTCTTACAGCCCCCTTGGACCTGGGGGCATTGAACTGACACTCAGCCCAGCATCCTAAGGCCACGACTAGGGCTTCATGAAGTGGACCTGTTGTTGGCAACCAGTGGAATGAGTTGAGGGAGGTCCTCCCAGGCACAGGGACCAGGATGTGCAAAGGCTCAGAGTGAAGAGTGATCTGTTTCAGGAACCAGAAGGTATACTTTATAATATATATAATTGACTTTAGACGTAGAAAGGAAGGAATTGAGAGAGATAGAGAAACTTTGATGAGCAAGAAACAAGGATCAGTTGCCCCCTGCTCAACCCCTACTGGGGATCTAGCCCACCACCCAGGCATGTGAGCTGACCAGGAATGGAACCTGTGACCTCTCAGCACATGGGTCACATGAACCAGGAATGTAGCTCACTCTATTTTTTTTTAAATATATTTTTATTGGTTTTTTACAGAGAGGAAGGGAAAGGGATAGAGTTAGAAACATCGATGAGAGAGAAACATGGATCACCTGCCTCCTGCACACCCCCTCCGGGAGATGAGCTCGCAACCAAGGTACATGCCCTTGACAATCGAACCTCCTGGGACCCTTGAGTCCGCAGGCTGACGCTCTATCCACTGAGCCAAACCGGTTACGGCAAGGGCCTAATCTTTTAGTTGGTCTCCAGGAGCCCACACTGATGGTCCCTTCCTTATGAGTCTGAGGACTGGGTTTCCTGCTGGGGCCCCCATCGGTGGGGAGTTGGGTGTCACAACACAGCACAGGGACAGAGTGGTCGTGTAGAGAGATGGGGATGGATAATGGTTTCCCAGTGGCCAAGGCCTTTAAAAGATGAGTGGACATGAGATGAATTGGAGGCTGAAGAGTAATTCAAACAGGATGAGGCTAGGGCTAGTACATAGTTACTTCTCTAAACTTACCAGGATTTTGCTGTGACCCTTGGTTTGGCCTGGGGGTTGCAGACAGGATTAACTTAGAAGCACGAGTGGTCATCTGTGAGACTCACTGAGCCTGTGGTAGAGGGCCATGGGCGATGGGACTTGAGTGAGGAAGGCTGTGACTGGTGAGTGCAGCTCCTGTAGAGGTGGGCTCTGGATTTCTGGGATCTGATGATGTTCTCAATAGTTGAGGTGGAAGGAAAATACACTCATGGAGAGAGGCCTTCAGGCAGGACTCAAGGCTGCCTCTCTGAGTGTGGACTATCAGAGTCGGGGTAGTACTTCATCCAGCTTGACTTGGCCAGGCATTCTGTGAACCACACATGCTGAGTCATAAGTAAAAGGCCAAGGAGATGACTATGGGGACTGTGGCTGGGGGAGTGCAGGAGTGAGAGAGGTGTGGTAGGAAGAGTGATGTGCCCTTTGAGAGGGCATGTGGATTCATGGCTGCAGGGCCCTGACATGGACATAAGAGGGAAGGAAGGTTGAGTCCAGTTCTGGTGGTGTCTGGATAATATATGGTCAATTTGAGATTAATTCCTGAAAAGAGGTGTGTTGTGGTGCTACATTTTTGGTCCAGAGCTTAGGTGTCATATATGTGCACACCTGCCTGCTGTTGTTGAGGGCTGGTATAGTGATCAGGAGGAATGAGGTAGCATACATCACTCACCAGGAGTTGAAAATCTCCCCTAGATGGACAAGATAGAGGGTAAGAGAGAAACACGTTACAGAGGAGGTGAACTATGATTTTGGAAAAGATGTTGGTTAGGAAACCACCGTCCTCATGATGGCATATTTGTGTTATGTGTGACGTTGTGCCTCTGAGAAGAGGAGAAGCTGTGTGAGAGAAGTGTGGTTCAAGAATCATGTGCAGCAGGTAGTGCAAAGTGATGGCCTCAGCACCCTGGTTTTGGATTGAAAGGGTGAAGTGTGAACCTATGGTTTCTGGTGTCTTGCAGGGACAGTCTGGGGGACTGCAAGGATATTGCCTAACGACCAGTGTCGAATCACTCACCCTCCCTTTATGGCCAACATTTATCCCTCCCCTTGTTGGTCACACCCGAGGTAATGGACAAGAGACATTGTGGCCTTTGGCCTAATGTGAGGCCCAGGTTAAGGTATAATCTCCCTTGTCATTGGTCTTTATTGTTGGGGGAAGACACAGTATCAGTAGGACTATAAGCAGAGGGTTTCCTTAGTGAGATCAAGGCCTGATATTATTCTGATGTAGGTAGTAGAGGGAGAGGACGGATGTGGAGGGTGGGGAGTATGACCATAAAATCATAGGAGAGAAGCTGACCATGAGCTGTACTGTCCCCCTTATGACAGGATATGAACTTTGAGGACGTGGCCATTGCCTTCTCTCAGGAGGAGTGGGGGCTCCTTGATGAAGCTCAGAGACTTCTGTACTGCGATGTGATGCTGGAAGTGTTTGCACTTGCATCATCTGTAGGTAAGACCTTCTCATATGTTCTAGTGTCCTGAGGTGATGTCCGCTCTTCCTTTTCTCTCAAAGCCAGACCGTGGGCTCTGCTAATGCCCCCACATTCTCGTCCAATGTGCTGTGGCTGCTAGTTGTGACCTGTGTGGAGAGACCTGAGCAATGGACTCACCAAACATCCCTAAGACCCATTGCCTCAAAAAGTGCAGTTAATGTCTGAGAATCAGGAAAATGCAAGCAGCTGAATGGGTCACACTTTGCTCTTCAACTCCGTGAGGGTGACTGTCCACATCCATTGCTAATGCCCCCTTTCCTAGCTAAAGGTTCTTTATGACAGCTTGTGCCCGCTTATGATCATATCACGAACCATAGACTGTTCTTGTAAGACTCTACTTCAATTGTTTGTAATATTTCCTCCCTAAATACTATTGCACGCTGAGTTGCTCTGGCCCATGCTTTCTGCTCACCTCCATTGTCTTTCATCAGTAGTCGGAATATGTAGGTTGTTCGTATTTGTACAGTAGAAGGTGCATGGAGAACCCTGGTTTGTTCGCAGGGTAACATGCAACATGGTCTCGGGGGAAGCCTCGCCCTGCTAAGTGGCAACTGGGAGCTAGGTATGACATGAGGGCTTTTTTTCAGGTCATACCAGGAACCTGTTCCTGTCCAACCATTTAGGTGCAGGTGCCACTGGCCACACCTCATTTCTATCTTTTCTTTCTTAAGCTTCCCACTTTGCTGACTTGTCATTTCTTCTGTGACTTCCTGCCTTTTGGCTTCTATCACCCTTGTGGCATTTTTATGTCACCTGATCCTCTGAGTTGCTCCCTCTGCAGTATTCTCCAACATGTGCCTCCACGTCTGTTACAAGGTGTGCATAGTTGCACAAGTAGTCCTCCCACACCAGCTACTTGTTCATTGAATTTTACTTGGAAAAGATGTAACCAATGTACTGCACAGCTTGCCCGTGTCACCAGCAAATAAGCCCTGCTGAAGGCTGTTAGCAGAAGAATGAGCTGGAGATCCTGCTTCTCTTCCAGGTGGTACCTGTCATAATTGAGTCATATTTCTGGTGAGGTCTTCAGTGTTTGTGATCTTCAGTGGCCCAGAACTTGTCAGCAGCCTCTTATTAATCCTTGTCACAGAGCTTTTATTTTCAGGCAATTGCATAGAACCAACATATTATGTGTAACACACTTTTGTAATGGGAGATTCCCTGTCACCACAGTCAACATTAACTTCCTCAGCATTTCTCTCTTTTCAGATTGTTGGCATAAAATGGATAATGAGGAGGCCTGTTCTGAGCAGAGTGAATCTGTACAAGGAGAGTCACAGGTCAGGACTTCTGCGTCAGAGCCAGCAACCCAGAGGACCCATGTGTGTAAGCGCTGTGTCTCTGTGTTAAAAGATATTCTGCACCTGACTGAGTCACAAGCAGCAGACTTTGAGCAGAAGGCCTTCTTCAGGGACGCATGTGTGAGAGACTTCTGTTTCAGTGCGAACCCTCACCAACCACAGAGGGAAGCCAGTGGAGAGAAGACCTGGAAAGAAGCTATGGACAGGGCCTCGTTTGTGACCAGGTGCAGCTTCTACTTATCTTGGGTGCTTTCAACCAGTAGGGAGGTTGGGGAAGACTTGCCCACGATCTCGGACCTTCTCCAGCACCAGGCCCCTCTCAACACTGGAGAGCCACACAGTGGCAGTGAGATTTCACAGGAATTTCTCAGTGGAAATAGTCATTATGATTGGGGTGAATGTGACAAAGCTGCCAGCCACAACCAGAAAGTTGTTCAGCATCAGGGTAACTGCTCTGAAGAAGTAAATTATGTGTGTAGCGAATGTGGGAATGTGTTTAGAGGAATTTTTAACCTTACGCAACATAAGAGAGTTCACACTGGAGAAAAGCCCTATGAGTGTAGTGAAAGTGGGAAGTCATTCAGGCAAACCTCTGCTGTCATTGAACATCAGAGGGTTCACACTGGAGAAAAAACCTATGAGTGTACTGTTTGTGGGAGGGCCTTCCGAAAAAGATCTCACCTCATTAAACACCTCAGAATTCACACTGGAGAAAAGCCCTATGAGTGTAGTGATTGCGGGAAATGCTTCAGGGAAAGTAGTACTCTCATTCAACACCAGAGAGTTCACACTGGAGAAAAGCCGTATGAATGTACTCTTTGTGGAAAGTCCTTTATACAAAGGTCTATCCTCACTAAACACTACAGAATTCACACTGGAGAAAAGCCATATGAGTGCAGTGATTGTGGCAAGTCATTCAAGCAAATCTCGGCTCTCAGTGTGCATCAGAGAGTTCACACTGGAGAAAAGCCATATGAGTGTAGTGATTGTGGAAAGTTCTTCAACGTGAGCTCTGCTCTCAATACACACCACAGAGTTCACACTGGAGAAAAGCCATATGAGTGTAGTGAATGTGGAAAGTTCTTCACTGAAAGCACTGCTCTCAGTAAACACCACAGAGTTCACACTGGAGAAAAGCCACATAAGTGTAGAGATTGTGGGAAGTCATTCAGGCGAATCTCTATTCTCACAGAGCACCGGAGGAGTTCACACTGGAGAAAAGCCATATGTGTGTAGTGACTGTGGGAAGTCCTTCAGACAAAGTTCTACCTTGACACGGCACCGGAGAGTTCATACTGGAGAAAAACCTTATGAGTGTAGTGCATGTGGGAAGTCTTTTAGGTACAATAGTCACCTCCTTTACCACAAGAGAGTTCATACTCTATAAAAGGCATGTGAGTGTCAGGATTGTGGGAAGTCCTACAAACATAGGTGTACCCTCGTATGACACCACAGAGGTCATATTGGAGAAATGCCACATCAGTGTACCTTCTTTTATAATAGATTAGTTCATATTTTTCATAATTTTTTAGGCAGTATAAGGTTTATAAATTTTAAACACTGGTTTCCTTCATGTTACACAGGTGATTTGAGATTCAACACTAACATTTATGTGAATATGTAATCTTTCTTTTTGCTGAGTAGTATTGTGTTCTATGGATAACCACTTTGTCTATTGATCTGTCTGTGGTTTTGGTTAGTTTGACATTTGGAGTTTTATAAATAAATCTGCTGGGAATATTTGAGTTCGGTTCTTTCTACAGGTAAATGTTTTACTCACCAAACTATTGCAGTGTTGGTGAATGTTTTACATTGTAAGATATGCAGAACTGTGACCCCCAATGGTTATTCCCTTTGCCTCCCACCCACCCACAGTAATGAAAATTCCAGTTTTTCCGTAAGCCTGCCAGCACATCTGATGGTTAATTTTTTAAACTAGCAGGTGCACAATGTGTATACTGTGAACCCATTTTGGTTTTAATAATGCTTTCCTAAGAATTTTAATGGTGAGCATTTCTTCACACATTTATTTACTATCTTTATCTCCTTTGTTATAATGTCTGCCCAAGATCTTTTGCCTACGTTTACAATGAATTTATTATTCTAACCAATAGGAGGAGAGTGGAGCATCTAAGACACATGTTTGAAATTCACTCATTCCTCAATGACTCGAGAGACTTCTTTGCTGTGTGGAACTATTGGGTTTAAATTATAGAAAATTTTCTCTCTCAATTTTTAGTTTATTTCATAGCCCACTTGTACCATATATTTAATAAGATTAATCTGCATTGTTAACTTTCTCCACCACTCCTTTTTAAGTATAAGCATTCAATAGTACATTAATTGAAGTATAGGTTTCTAGTATTTGTCAATTTCCCTGGTGCAAATACTCTCATTGTCACCATGTTCAAACTGCCAAAACGATGTCCTTGAACATGGACATGGGCAAATATTTCAGTAGCACATCATTCTAGTTTATTTCCAACATGCTAATAAAGTAGCAATGAATATGCTCAAGAACATCCTATATAATAAAAGGCTAATACGCAAATTGTCTCTTCAACTAGGAGTTTGATCAGGGGTTAGGGCTGGCCAGCAGGCCAACTGCCCTTGGCCCCTCCCCACAGCCAGCCCTGCTCTTGACCGCCCCTCCCCGCCATCGGGGCAGGGCGGGCCAGCCAACTACTTGTGGCCCCTCCTTCCAGCCAGCTGAGTGATCAGCCCCAATCCGGGCGGGCCGGCCAGACCTCACCTGTGCACAAATTCGTACACCAGGCCTCTAGTTGATAATAAAATGGTAAAATTAGCTTTGTGCAGTGGCAGTACATAGCCAAGGAGATTTATCCGAGGCAAGATTATTGCTAATTGAAAAAAAAGGGAAAAAAATATATAAAATGATAAGATTATACTGAAGTGGCAAGTTTTAAATGTTTTTTAAAGTTTGATATAAGTATAATTGATTTAAAACATACATTTTAACTACATATATATATTTTTAAATTTTTTTATTGGTTTCAGAGAAGAAAGGAGAGGGGGAGAGAGAGAGAAACATCAATGATGAGAGAGAATCATTGATCCACTGCTTCTGGCACACTGCACCTGGGTTATCAAGCCCACAGCCTGGGAATGTGCCCCGACCAAGAATTGAACCATGAGCTTCTGGTTTATAGGTCAACAGTCAACCACTGAGCCAGGAGGCCAGGCAACAATATATATTTTTATTGATATCAAAGAGGATGAAAGAGAGAGAGAAACATCAATGATGAGAGAGGATCATTGTTAGGCTGCCTCCTGCACACCTCCTGCTGGGATGGAGCCCAAAAGCTGATCATGTTCCATGACCAGAAATTGAACCCTGACCTCCTGGTTCATAGGTTGATGCCCAACCACCGAGCAACACTGGCCGGGTTAAAACACAATTTTTAACTTACACTTTTGATGTTTCTGTACAGGCCTGCATCCCTGAAGCCAAATTCCTCCTCCCCTTTTCAATGCTTTCTAATTGGCACATGGAATTACTGATGCAAGGACCTGGTCTACCTTTGTAATAGCTTATTTCATATTATATCCATATAAAGAAAACACTTATGAAACCCCATGAGTCCTATTCTAGCCTTCCATCACTATCTGTCATGGTAGTTCTTGTATCTATCTATTCTCAGGTACATTAATGGGTTATTGTACTTAAAATCCATGATATAACCCTAGCCAGTTTGGCTCGATGGGTAGAGCGTCAGCCTGCGGACCAAAAAGTCCCAGGTTCGATTCCGGTCAGCACATGATGCCCGGGATTCGCGCTCGATCCCCAGTACGGGGTGTGCAGGAGGCAGCCGATCCATGATCCTCTCTCATCATGGATGTTTCAGTCTCTCCCTCTTCCTCTCTGAAATCAATAAAAATATATTTTTTTAAAAATCCATGATATATTTTGCCCTGGCCGGGTAGCTCAGCTTGTTAACACAGCCTGTCAATAATGCCAAGGTTGCCTGTTCCATTCCCAGTCAGGGCCCACACAAGAATCAAACCAGGAATCTATAAACTTACTGAAAGAACAAATGGGTGTTTCCCTCTCTTCCCAGTGTCCCCTCTCCCATCAATATGTTGGTGTCTGTTTTTCACCAAATGTGTCCACACACGTGACCACCCACACAGCTGGGGACCCCGTGGCGAACCAGCCAGCATGGTTCTCATGAGGGCAGAGCACACAGTGAGGGAGAGAACAGGAGGGGAGGTGCCCCTGCTGTCAGTGTGGAGGGTGGGGACGGGGTCTGAGCTGCACAGTCACCCTTAGGGGGTGGTGACACCTGTGCTCCCTGAGACTAAAACCCAAGGGGCCTGGAAAAGCTTGGGGCCTGGACGTGGCCCTTGTGGCCACTGCACCCTCCAGCCAGGGGTTGAGACTGGGCTGTTTTGGACTCAGGTGGTTGAGGAGCCCAGATTCGTCCCAGGTATTTGGGAGCAGCCCCTACTGCTCTGTGCCCCCAAATCTGTTCGCCTTTGGGAAGCCCTACCTCCCACCAACACACCCACACCCCTGAGCCCGACAGGCTTTGTTTGCATCTCTGCTTTTGCACATCTGGGTAAGTTTCCACTTTGATTGCATTAAAAATTCCACCCCGGCCCTGACCAGTTTGGCTCAGTGGCTAGAGGTTGGCCTGCGGACTGAAGAGTCCCAGGTTCGATTCCGGTCAAGGGCATGTACCTGGGTTGCGGGCACATCCCCAGTGGGGGGTGTTGGAGACCGGGTGTAAGCTGACACGGTTCCCTGTACCTGAAGGGGCTAGCAAGGCTGGGACCCTCACCCACACAGTTTTCCCAGACTTGTTTGGATGGCGGTTATCAGTAGAATGAGAGCAACCTTTGTAGAATGAGAGCAGCTCATGGCTTATTACCAAGAAGTCTGTAACTATTTACTGAGATT